CAGTCGAAGTGTGTTCGGAATAGCATCTGTTTTAATTACTGTCAGCTGATCCAGAGAGAGAGAGAGAAAAAAAAGCTAGGGTTCAAGGAAAATTGTGTTGCTTGAATATTTCAAGAGCGACTAACGATAAGTAAGAACTTGACACTGCGAAAGAAAACATAGAGGAACCTTAACCTCGCGATCAACAGACTTACGGAAGCTAGAATAAGTGAGTCATAGAATACGTAGTATTGTTCACATGTATACGTATCTATAGGTATTAATTGACCTTTCATACTCTATGCTCGAAACTGGTGAGTTTTGTCTTAACTTAAAATTAACTTGTCTATCAACTTATCCTTGAGGCAGATCGTCGTTCCTCTCGCCGGTCATGTTTCATCCGTATTCCGGGAGAACCATCGGCGCACTTTGTTCCCACATTGGTAAACGCACGTGCTAGCGTAGATATGCAAATCGATATTGGCCGTGTCGCTATGTAGCATCTAATTGTCTGTCATAAGCATATAATCGCGTTCTCCACGTGCAGCTTTCTGTGCATGTTTTAACGTGGCCGTGTACGTAAATGTACGTACGTCCATTTGTGCGTGTTAGACATATCTGTTATGTCTCTACGTGTACTAATCGCACGTTATATTTGTACCTCTGAATAATGATAGGGATTTCTGGATGTACGAGCATCTGACTTCTGCGGTGATTTATATTATAGGCTTCTGTTCATAATCAAAATATACAGCCAACCTAACCTAACCAATAAAATGCACGCAAGTTCGAACAACGTGAATCAACGATTTGTTAATTTTATTATTTACAAAAGTATATAGAAAATTTCATTGAGACATTGCAAATGAATTAATTGTATTCATTGAGGAATAGATGATTTGTGTTCTGTAACAGTTGCGCTAAGAAACGTACGTTTTCGTTTAGGTTAGTACAATCTAGCCGAAATGATCCCCACCTAGGGGCAGTTAGTGACAAAGCTCTGAGGTACAGATATAATGCGCGATCGGTATCTGTACCTGTGTAAACGTGTCTGCGCATATCTACGTGAATCCACATGTGTTTCTCCAGACGTTGAATCGCATTTCACATGTACGATGTGACAATCTTCCCTGCAATAACAAGGTAACAAACTTTTAATGAACGTATTCTACGCATTATTCGCGAGCACGCACATTATTTTCGTGTAAACGTCAGTAAAGTGGTATCCAAGTAACATAAATAGCGTTTGGATGAACGATCAATCAGAGCTGTCGCGTTGAATAAATGAAGTTCCCATTAACTTCTCTTGTGTAGGCTGGTATTTTTAGACGCTCCGAGAGATTTTTTTTCAATTGAAACGAAAGAATGTTTTTTAGATGTACTCGCGTTGAAATTTCTTGGTTACAAGATTTATATGCTCGAATTACGTTACAATCCGAGTCGTTAATTATTTTATCGATGAAACATAATTCTGTAAAAAGAACGTGTGAAAAATATCTTTAATAAACGATAATGATTTCAGGAAAGTGGAAGAAAACCATTCACGTATGTGATATTTGTGTCATATTTTCTGAACAACTGCATCGATAAATTAGCGAACACATAATAGTGTAAAAAGAAACATTTCGATTTTTAACCGCATCGATATCTAGGTTATTGGGACAAGGAAGTTGCAGTAAGATGGAAAAATGAAGAAAGAGGGAGAAGAGTCCTGTATAAGAATAAATGTTTGAAACTTCTGTATAAGATGACCAAGTTATTATAGCATTTCCTTGAAAAATTTATTATTGCAATTTTTATTCCAGGAATATTAGATACATACATGTTTGTACACCATAAATATTAAAAACAAATTCTGCAAGTTCGTATTATCATTTGTCTTAATGTACAATGCGTAATAAATAAACGTATATTCGTATGTTGTTATTATAAATAAGTATTATGTATGAATGTATTTAAATAATTGATAATAATGATATGTTTTAGTAAAGTACCAAATTTTACACATGGTGCTGCCATCTATGAACGCTTGCTTAGGTGGCACAGTGTTACAATTTAATCAGAAGTTCCTTTCTGATAAATGGCGGTTACATCATTTAAATACCAACATTTGTACGAATTAAATTAAATTTTTTAAATATCCCTATTATTTTATTCCTTTTTGCAGATGAATATTATAATTAAAATTAAATTGGCCGTAAGGGTAAATTAATTTAAAGGTAATATCACAGACGAGATACAGAATAAACCTGTCACCTAACGTATATTTGTATCCAACGTTCTGAAATACCGATCGCGTAAAACAAATTACATACAATCCAACCATCAAAGATGATAAAGTCAACAAATGTAAAAAATCATGTTTATTGTATTTTATTATTGTATTTATTATTGTATTTATTAAATGTATTTTATAAAAGGTTACAATACACCAGTATTGTTTCACAAAATTTTACAGTCAATTTATTTCTCCCTCACACACCACGTTCAGTTCCTTTTGCATAAGTAATGTTAAAAGAATGAAAAAGTGATTATAAGTATTGATAAAATATAATAAAAACAATGAGAATAGCAATAGCGAAGAAAAACAACGAAATGAGTAGCCGTAGATAAAGATAGCACTAGAGAAATGAGTTAGACAAGGAAAGGAATACAGGTAAACAAGGATAGAACTAGAGAAACGTGTTAGACAAGGAAAGCAATACAGGTAGACAAGGATAACACTAAAGAAACGAGTTAGACAAGGAAAGGAATACAGGTAGACAAGGATAACACTAGAGAAACGAGTTAGACAAGGAAAGAAATAGGGGTAGGCAAGGATAGCAATAGTGACCTGTGTTAGACAAAGAAAGCAACACGGTTAGACAAGGATAGAAAATTTTCAATCCGAAACTAACGCCATCTCGCGTTTGGTGACGCGAACTACGACTTTTCAATAGAAACACAGGATATCAACAGAGGTATTAGACAAGGAAAGCACTAGTGTGCGAGAAGGACAGAGAGAGAACGTTTCCTATTGGTTGGCGGGCCGCCATTCTCCACCTTCTGAACGCTACGTCAAGTCGGGGAGGAAAAAATCATTAATAACTCAATAATTACGATGATTCTGTGAACTTTTAGAATTGAAGAATGAAGAATGGACCTTTAGCAACTTTCTCATGTAGATTTTAATGCACTGGGCTCTTTCAACAATTAGTTATTAATAATTTCAATACAGGATGTCGGGTATGATGCCGTTCACGTTTATATAGGTTTACGATTTTTCAATAATTTCATAGCTTTCTAATAAATTCCCATGCAAGTAACTATATGCGTCTAAAAGATAACTCCTTTAGCTACATTCTCATATAACTTTTATTAATATGTTCGATTTAGTTTACGAGTTATTAAACATTATATGAGAGAGTCCCCTATTCACCGTACTCCAGTATAGTCAACTGTTATAAACAATTGCTAATATCTACTAAACCACATCACTTAGGGTTACCAAACTAATTGCAGAATATAAATAAAAATCCATTCTACATTCTTCATGCTTAAAAGTACACAATTGGTCACGCATTTCTATTGAAATAACGAAGATGTGTTACGCTTGAATGCGACGCCTGTAATACTCACCCAAAGAATGTTAAATAACTATCAAACCAGAAGAAATATATTAATAAAAATTATATGAGAATGTAGCTAAAAGAATTGACTTTCAGACGCATATAATTATTTGCATGGGAATTTAGTAAAAAACTATGTAATTAATGAAAAACCGTAAAGGTATGCGACATCGTTCCCGACATCACGCACTAAAATTGTTAATAACTAATTATTGAAAGGGTCTAGTGCATTAAAAACTATACGAGAAAGTTGCTACAGATCCACATTTTATTCTTTAATTCTAAAAGTGCACAGAATCATCGTAATTATTGAGTTATTAATGATTCTTCCCTCCCCGACTTCAGATAGCGTTCAGAAAGTGGAGAATGGCGGCCCGCCGACCAATAGGAAGCGTTCTCTCTTTGTCCTTTTCGCACACTAGTGCGTTCCTTGTCTAATACCTCTGTTGATATTCTGTGTTCCTATTAAAAAGACGTAGTTCAAGTCACCAAACATAAGATGGCGTTAGCGTCGCTCTTGAAATTTTTTTTTTCTGTCTTTGTCTAACAGACGCCGTTATTACTATCCTTGTCTACTGCTATTTTTTCCTTGTCTAACTCATTCTCTAGTGCTATCCTTATCTATCACTCTTTCTTTCCTTGTCTAACTCATTTCTCTAGTGCTATCCTCGCCTACCCGTATTTCTTTCCTTGTCGTACTCATTTCTGTATTGGTAAATACTTCGACGAGTTATCTTTTGTACTAAGTACGATTAAATATATTGAATTGCGTGGGTAGAACTATTAAACAATTACGTTACTTTCTTATTTGTAATTTCATAGTTACGTTTAATTTTCAAATAACTGCTAATATTGTAACCTTATTCTATGCTAAATCGGTAACGTTGGGAATGACACGAAAATGGTAAGGATCTTCTCGATCCCCCTGCTGCAGACATAAAGTCCCATAAGATGTTAGGTCTATCCTGTACCTCATCTGTGTTAGAATGTTCTAATAATCAATATCTGTATAAAGAATTGCATTCTATAATATTCAATAATTGATACTCTATAACGATAATTAAATATTACAATATTTAAAATGGTAGAAAAATGATAACTTGTTTAGATCGATAATATTGCTGTATCCTTATTTACCTGCTGCCAAGAATAGTAACAATTTGAAGCATTTCTAGAAAAAGTCGCAACATGTAGCAAGCGCTAGAAATCTCGAAAAGTCTCGCAATGTAGGGTTCTAATTTCGGCAACTTCAGACAAAATAAATGTGAACATATTTACCCGTAAAATGAAAACAGTTACGCATTGTTCGAAATTTGAAAGAAACATATGTAAATGTTAAGATCATCTGTAAAGCTTCTTTTATTTTTGTTAGTTTTGATAAAATATAAGGAGTAACACTTTCCGGGTGATGTAAGGAAACGTAGTAGGAACGTTAACGGTGTTACCATGTTTATTAATTAAAACTGTTCGTACAGTAATATTGTAATAGTGCAACCAGGAACAATCCAAAAATAATACATTCAGTGTTGAAGTATTATAAATGGCCCTATTATTCACAAGCCTGTGGGACTCTACAATGCTTTTAAGTACCTTAACCCCAAAATTTTATGTTGCCCTTACTGGAACTTCATCATTGATTTCTGGATTAATTCTTATTTTTGAGTGGTGGTATTTTAGAAAATACGGTACATCCTTTATTGAACAAGTATCTTTAAATCATATTTCACCATGGATTGGTGGAGGTGACAGTGGATCAGAGGGAAACAATTCAACTTTAAATGGTTCAAATTCAAATCAACAAAATGTTTCAGAATGTAAAGTTTGGCGTAATCCAATAAATTTATTTAGGGGGGCTGAATATCAAAGATTTCATTGGGCTACAAACAAAGATCCATTAACATATTATGATATGAATTTATCTGCTCAAGATCATCAAACATTTTTCACTTGTGAGGGTGATACAGGTAATTATTATGCAAATCATATTATCATGTTGTTAAGACTCAAGTACTGATTATATAATTGTAATAGGTAAGGCTGAATATGAAATAATGCAAACAGCTTGGAGAGAACGCAATCCAGCAGTAAGAGTAAAAGCTGCACATAGTGCTCTTGAACGTAATCCTGATTGTGCTCCTGCATATATTTTACTTGCTGAAGAAGAAGCTACTACTATTGTAGAAGCAGAAAGAATTTTAAAGCAGGCTTTAAAAATAGCAGAAAACAATTATAGAAAATCTCAAAGTACTCAACATCAAGGAGCTATTGCAGAAGCTATACACAGGAGAGATACAAATGTATTAATATATGTTAAAAGAAGATTAGCTATGTGTGCAAGAAAGTTAGGAAAATTGAAAGAAGCAGTAAAAATGTTTAGAGATTTAACAAAAGAAGTTCCATCAATTATGAATGCATTAAACATTCATGAAAATTTAATTGAAGCTTTATTAGAAATGCAAGCATATGCAGATGTTCAAGCAGTATTAGCAAAATATGATGACATAAGTCTACCAAAATCAGCAACTATCTGTTACACAGCTGCACTGTTAAAAGCACGGGTAGTTGCTGATAAGTTTTCAACAGATATTGCTAGTAAAAGGGGTTTAACTACTCCAGAAATGATAGCAGTTGAAGCTATTCATAGAGCTGTTGAATTTAATCCTCATGTACCTAAATATTTATTAGAAATGAAACCTTTAATTTTACCCCCTGAACATGTACTAAAAAGGGGGGATTCAGAAGCAATTGCTTATGCTTTCTTTCACCTTGCTCATTGGAAACAGATGGAGGGTGCTCTTAATTTATTACATTGTACATGGGAAGGTACATTTAGAATGTTGCCCTATCCGTTAGAAAGAGGGCATTTATTTTATCCATATCCGACCTGTACGGAATGTGCAGATCGTGAATTATTACCCTCGTTTCACGATGTAAGCGTTTACCCCAAAAAAGAATTACCCTTTTTTATTTTGTTTACAGCAGGTCTATGCTCCTTTACAGCGCTTTTAGCACTTTTAACGCATCAGTATCCCGACACTATGGGTGCAGTTGCACGATCAATGCTTGCCTTGTGTTCTCATCCATTTTATTATATTTTAGATAAATTGGAGGCAATTTTACCTTCTAATTTATTACAACAGCTCTCTAGAATATAAGATATTTGTATGATCTCTGTAATCATGACTTATTGTGATATTTATGATACTTATGCTTTCATTGTCATATACATCAATTATACATGTACATCCGTACTTCCTGAATTTCTTATGACTGACGATATCCTAATATGTATGTATTTATAGAATTAACTATTTACTTAACGTTGTTAGATGAAAACATCGTGTAGCGATTGATGTATAATTAATAAAAATTTGAATATCTTTGAATCATTTTCTATTTCTTCATTATTATTATATTTCTATATTTTAAACTATTATCTAATCTAGGATATTTGGGTATATCAATTAACAATAGATTTGATTAGATTTCATATTTATTTAATAATTGATATTATCAGTAGCTCATAATTGGTGGCGAAAGAACAAGGCAAATCAGAGATATTAATGTTTCAAATTTGTACAGAAAATGTGGAATTTATTGTATGAAATTAATGAAAAATCTTGATAACATTTACAATTGCTTATAGTAAAGAACAGAATTGCACTGAATATTCAACAGAAAGAAGCGCAACGATATTACGCAAACGTGCAATATTAAAATGCAAAGTGTTTTGAGCATTATGCAATATCAATTATTCTTAATCTCTGATCCGCCTTTCTATCATGAGACGGTTACGACAGAAGAAAGAGAGTTAAGACACTTGGAAGTCAGAGGGCCCAGGTTTCATACATGGGCTGGCTCGCTATGACTTTGATTTTGCTTCAAACATTCATTCTCAATTAATCTTAACTGATAAGTGATAAAATTTGTCACTTTATATACAATACCTCTTTACTTTATAATTTACTTACTTAAACGAACATATGTAACGCAGAAATACTATTAAATAACTATCTTCACACAACTAAGATATTTCGCATTATGACTATTAATGTATGTGTGTGTAATAAGAACATGTAAAAACTTTCAAATGTGATCCTTAAATTTTACTATGTAGTTATTCTTAATGTATCATTACAATTAAATGTATTTATAGTAGTAGTAATCTATAAAGTAGGAAATATTTTGAGTATTCGTCTCCTGCTAATATCTGAGCTTGTGTACACGCTTCTTTCACTCGAAGATTCCATGCGCATCTTAAACACCATATAATTCCTTCATATCTTCGTGGTGGGATTATTTATTGCCGAAAATTAACTACGAAAGGAATTCGACAAAAGTTCACGCAATGTATTTATGTACAAACTATAGATTGTCCTTATCAGTTTTTTTTTTCCTCAGCAGATCAACGCACGTAGTCACTTCACTGTGTTCAGATTTGATCGTTCCGCCATTTTCTACAAATAAGGCACCTTTAACAAATTACCGCTGTTATAGGCTGTAACGATCTAGCAGTCCAACATTCAGTCAATGTCACAAAGTCTGCACCGACGATAGTTAACTTGTAGTTGCCAATAAGGCATACATAGTCATTTTAACGTATACAACAAAACCAATTATACATATTTAATATTACTTAACGTAACAATAAAAATTTCATAAATTATTCCCTGTTTCGTTTACCATTTTTTACAGGTATGAGGCATAAAATTTTCGTAAACAATATCTCCATAAATCATTCTTAATTATTGATAAACGTGATATTTGTACAAGTTCGCTTTTATCAAAGATAACTATTAAAATATTTTAAGAAACTAAGGAATAATTCAGGAGCAAGTAAAATTAATCTACTGAAATCAGCTTATCCTATTTGGAATAAATCTAGTTTTTAGACAGCATTTCCTATGTATCGATCATATTTGTATGTGATCGAATAATTAGCTTCGAAGATAATTTGTGCATACGGAATGCTATAAAGTTTAAAGGTTTCTGGAAGAAGTACCATACTATCAACTCAAGTTTTTTTTTCCCCCGCTTTCTTATAAAAATCATTATCCTTGCCGTATGGATAAAAATTGATATTATTATTAAAGAGTGCCATTTGCGAAATATTGATACCGATCATATAATTTAGTAGACCACGAATGGATACTAGCTTCGACTAAATCTTCTACATGCCGACGTAACTGATCCTCTGTTAATGTGAGATGGAATCTGTTTTTCAACCCCTGAACTGTTGCTGCTCCGCCACTACGGAAACACGGAAGTTGCGAACCTGTAATTACGAACGATAATGTTTGACCAAATTGTAATAATTATACATTTTTAAAAGTTACACCATACAATTTTGTTTAGAAAATTTGTACCTGATAACATGATCTCCACAAGATTAACAATTTTTTCCATGTGTTTCCGCGCTGCAATTAGCCCTTGGAGAATCAAAGTTTTAAATTCTTGAAATTGCTTAGATTGGCTTCCACCCATCACTTCCACAAATTCGGGAGTTAATTTAAACGGACTCGTCTCAAATCCTAAATTTCTTGGCGAAGTTGAAAGAATAAATCCAAAGTCTATGTGTATTAAGTGACCGTCACAGTGAAGCAAAATATTTCCATTGTGACGATCTTTAACCTGAATGAGATAACAGACAAGACAATATGCGGCGCAACTTTGAATGAAATTTCTTTGCGCTATAGTAAATGAATCAGACGTAGACGGGCCAAATTCTCTTTCGAAATATTGATAAAGCGTTAATTGGCACTGTTTCTTCACTTGGTGAAGTGATACAGTATTTAAAATTGGTTCGATTAAACCACTATCATTCGATAAGCATAAAATTCTGTAAAATAATAAAATTTCATACATTAATAAAACATTTCACAGTGAATTTTGTAAACATAGAAAATAATGAAATTATTCATACTTGTATGGCCGCACCCAAAGAGGTACTTGTTCATCTTGCCAGATCTTTTGTAACATGGAAAGTAACTGCGAAGCAAGAAGTTCCTGTCGAAGATCATCGCCACATTTCACGATAACAGCGAGGAGTTTCCAAGATGCCAAATGACCGTATGGACTGGAAGACCTTATGCGACGTTGCTTTAATTCCCATGGTTCTTTCAGAACGGCAGCTGACGGATCTTCCGGGTCATGGTTAAACGTTGCACTAGGCGCAGCAGCCATTTCACTTAACCGCCTCTTTATATCACCAGGTACAAATATTGGTTCTTTACTATCTGATGATTCTTGACTTAATTGAGATATCGTATCTCTATCTTTTGGCTTACGAAGTTGTAAATACTGTAAAGGAAAAAAAATCATGAAGAATTTATGTAATCCTTCAATTTGACGAGTGATGAAGTGAATAAGTACCTGTTGTGTAATTTCATCGTCTTCTTGACTCCAACAATCGTTAGGATCATCATCAGGAAAACTAAATGCAACTTCCGTACTTCTCACTGAATACGGGGAAATATTTTTAACCGGAGTTTGCCTAATCGGTGGCATGTTTTGTTGTTGTGTTTCTGAAGTGGATATGTTTGTTGAACCAATTACATTAGACTGTTCACCTCCAGTTAAATTTTCCTCAGATTTAGTATGCCTCAATGAACATCCCACTATTTTCGTCGGTACAGGTGACGTATAAATATCTTCTACTTCTAACACTTCAACATAAATTATGTATGGTGCCTACATGTTTTAAAACACGTTAATAATAGAATCAACAAAAAAAAGAAATGGCTGATAACGATTTCAAAAAATCATTAGATTTTCAAAATTGTTCACCTTATCCTTGCTATTAAGGACAGCAGCGTATTGCGGTGGCACTCGTACGATATGATGTGGTATTGAACTGTGCAAAGGAAGCCACACCCTTGCAGGAAGATTCAAATTGAGAGTATTAAGCTCCGCTATTAATTGAACAGTTTTACTTTCCTTTGTTGGAATAGTTCCAAGTAATTTACCAATTGATATTAATGCTTGTATAAATTCGAGTTCTGGAGCAAGACGTGGCGCCTATAAATGCAAACATTATTGCGTTAATTAAATTTGCACACAGCTGGCATCGATGCGAAGAAAGGACTATTGTATTTAACGAAATTCATAAAATTACATTGCAAAAGCAGTCGGTTTTCTGTCCTCGTAAATCATTTACCACACCTTGGCAGGAATAAAAACAGGTACAGCCATTGTCAAATGCTCGACCAGAGCTCAGGTCCCCAAGACTTACTTTATTTATTGTACCTTGAAATAAGTCGTAAGCATATGGTGAAATTTTTTGCGTTTACATAACATTCGCTACCTCTACTTTTACTATTTCATAATAAGATAACACGTTAATTTGCGTAATTCATCTACCGGAATGGCTACGACGTAGAGTCTGAAATAATCCAGTGGCATCAGACTGAGATCTTTGGTGTGTCTTTTTATTAGGAGATGTAACGCTTTGCATCGGAATTAATGGTAGCGGTGCGGGGGTTTGTAATCCAGTTACACGTTTTTTATTCTCATTTCCTTTTGGCCTGATGTTTCGTATAAAAAGATCAAGTACAAGAAAGTTTATATTTTTACGAGGTCGACGTAATCTTTTCATACACCAATTCTTTTCTACTTCAATTTTTTTCATTACCTGAGTTCATCTGAGAGAATAAGATTTTTTAATTTGGTCCCATGAGACTTCTTTTTGGATGGCAAATGAGCGTCGGAACTATATGCATCTAATAGCCAGGCACATTTCAACGAAAAATCAGCCGACTGTCTACACCTGATAAAAAAAAAAGTTACGATGTCTTGAGTACCCCGTTCGTACAACACATTCCCTTAAACCCTTTACCTTCATTTTATTTTACCAATGTATACTTACCTATGGACAAGATATGGATAAAGGACTTCTGTAACATCGTGAAGTTGTATGTACATTACAACTAGCTGTGGCAAGTAGAAGTCCACATCGTTATCTGGGAAACTAAACATCTTGTTCCCTGGAAAATAGTACACTTTATGTTTCATCGTTTATAAAACAAATATACACATCTACCGCTACTACATTCAACCAATACTTTCAAGCATTGTGGGCCACACAATCTATCCACATTTAATAACAATCCATCAACAACGAACATCGATCAATCTTAATATTAAAAACCTAACTCATACAAACTACGATGAATTGTACCAAAAAAGAAAAAATTCACACGCAAAAAAAGACTCGCGATGAAACGCTTACCAAGATAGCTCTGAACGCCAGGCTCTTTAGAATTGAACAAATAAGAGATCGCCATGGACATGTCAAATATCTGACTTTCGAACAATCTGAGCAAACATCCCTCGGATGGTTTCGGTTGTACCGTCTCTTCTCGCCGACAAACGACACCAGTCTGCTTTTTCACAGCTGCCTCGCTAGTCTCAGATTGCACGGCGGTCCCACAACACAATGTCATAGCCGCACCCGCCAGTTCACTCTGTTTATCGTTCACAGGCGAGATTTCCAATGAATTTTTAAAGTCTCGCGTCACTCCACTCATATCGGTGCATCGTTGTTCATCGTGTCCGTACTCGTGGCTTTCTACCAGTTCTTTCACCATACAGACATTAATATTATTATTATTGTTATTAGCAGACCTGAGTTCCTGTGAACCTGTATCACCACTGGTTACGTTGTTCTCGTGTTTATGCGGCTCACTACTACTACTACTACTACTAAGATCACCGATAATAATGGTTTTAGACGAAGGTTCACTCAAGTGCACCAGTTCCACAGGCGACACTGGCACCGACAACGACACTGTGACCACTGGACCACCACTTTCCTCGCCGTCCACCACGTCCACGCTATCCATGTCACCCGGTTGAGATAACGAGGAGTCGAGGCTCTCGCGGCTGTGCAGATGGTCGACGCTCGACTCTCTGGTGGCGGCGTTGGTGGCGTCGCTGGAACCGCTATCGGAACCACAAAGTATACCCGAGTCGTCAGACCCGAGACTCGCGAGATCCTCGCGTTCCCGGCTGCGCGCCTTGCACGCCGGTACCGCGGTCGCTTTAGCTACTGGGGCCGGAGTCGTCTCGCATTCTGGACTCGGTGTCACGTCCACTTCCGGGATACGCTGCAGCGCTGAGTCCAGGCTTCGATTTCGGTGATGATGCGTCAGCGTCGTTGCGCTCGCCTGCGGAACCGGCGGCAACAGAATACCCATTGACCTGCAAATACACTGTGTTAAATTCTCGTTTCTCGTTCGTTACTTATAGTCTAATTAAAATATTGGGTTGATCTTTTTTTTTTTTAAATAAAAAACGTTATTTGTCAAGGAAAATATTTGATCACTTGTAGCGAAAATGAAGATTTGCCCTGTTTAACGACCGAATACTTTTGGGAGTAACTGTAGTTACGCAAGATAGAGTATACTTTAGCACACCTAACTCACAATTTGAAGAATTTCATTATAACACGTCAATTCCTTTCTTCACATGTATAACTAGAACTCGGATTTGAATAGGGTTAATTAAAAAATTGAGGATGAGAAAGTGTTAGTTTGAAGATCATTGTAAACGCGCCATTATTCCGTCCGTTTAATTAGAAATATCGAAGAAATTTATTTAAGCAGCGTGTTAAAGTGTCGCAGAGGAATAGAGGTAGAATTTTGTCACATTTCACTGATATCGCACAAATCGAGGGTTAGGTGTACGCAAACTCGTGTGTGCAACATATGTGTTTATTTTAGAATATATTTATACAGATAATACAACGATGCTCTCTACGTAGTAGATAACCAACCCGCGAAATAATATTATCAGCATCTATAAATACCATCCGGAAGCATGCAAAACGAACACGACCCCAGCAGTTTTCGTTTTCATACCTAAAGTCCAAACTGTGATTCCGTTGATGCGTGGTCAGCCTATTACGGGTGTTGATCGGTGGATTTGACCGTCCGTGCACAAGAGGAACATTACAGTTGGCTAATTTATGCCTTTTGATGTGTGCCACGCTTTCCTGGCGTGTCGTCGATCCACCACTAGGTGTTACAGTCACTACTTCACTCATATTAAAGATGAACGAGCATCAGAGCTCGGCTAACAGTCATCTGCTGTTCATGTTGATCGTCCACCTACGAGAACGGTTCACAATCGAAGTAATTCCATCGAAAATATGATACACAGGAATTATCGACGTATAAATATTACGTCGTAGCCGACCGTTCGAGGAGATTTAGATAACGAATTGTAGTATATAGAAGTTTTCTACATAATGCAATTATAAATTACCGCATTGTTTTTCTTTGTTTCTTTTTCACGTGTATATCATTATACATATACATACATATATATCGAACGATAATGAAAGAAAATAATCGCGTGGTCAAACGTGTTTGAATTAAGATGCATGATTGTTAGGAACACGATACGACCAATCTAAATTCGTGTTATCAAAACCATCCGAAAAATACGATAAAGAAAATTCCTATCTTAGATACATATTATGTGCAGTGTACGCGGATCAGTCCATGAATAATTTATCGGGTATCCTCGATATGTATAATGGAAAAGTTCTTTTCTGGTATTAAAAGAAACAAGGGAACAAATAAGAAAACATTAAAACAGTTTACGGGAAAAACAAAAACAATCAATCGTGCTAGTTTGTAATCGTTTTTACGATTGCGTATTGCTTGCCCTTTCAATCGCCTCTTAACGTTCTTTAGATGCATTCATCACCCTTTAAGAGGTGCACAATAGCGTGAAAACAAAGTCTTTAGAACTCGAGCGTGGTATCATGATATTAAAGACTCTACCTGTCTTATTATCTCAGCTATAAACAATGTGATCTCGCCTACGAATTTCCAATAGTATCGAAACCGTAACAATCCCGCATTACGGCGAAATTCGATCGACAAACATATGTTTCCAGTGACCTCATCGTAAATACGGTGAATTCTAAATTTCTTGTAAAAAGAACAACGAAAAAAGGAGTCATCTTTTAGAAATGCACGACGATGAGCAACCACGCAAGGCAATACCGTGACAGGAGCGTGAAACTCGTGCTAGGTACGAGAAAGTCGAATGCCAGTCGGAACAAAGCGTACGTCAGAATTTTGCTCCCTACTCCGCGCGACACACAGTTCTTACGTATTATACTTCACGTTATTTCCACTTGTTTCTTCCCTTCTTGTTTCTTTTTTCTCTCCTCTATCCGTTTCCAAGAAAACGAAAGTATCTTTCTAATGAGAAAGAGAGGGAGGGCGGGAGAGATAGGGGGGGAGAGAGAGAGAGAGAGAGAAAAGAGAGGAAGATTCGTTTAAAGATCGCTTTCTACGACGAGAACAATTTCGCAGCATTATCGCCAACTGAAATCGTACGAAACCGTGTTCCTTTCCCGCGAGATTAATCGGTGAGGCGACCCAGCCGAGTGAAATCCCTGGGAGAAGAATAATTCAATAAGGAGGAAAATGGAGCGAACTCTAAGCCGCGGTATGCCGGCTTTTTTACTCTCCCTCTTTTACACTCAGGGACTCGTCCTTCCACTCGGCTCGTATTCACACGCTGACCAGCGGTCCCGTAGCAATGGGTGTGCCAGAAGCATAGAGAAATCGAGGCACATTGCCTCTATACGCTGACAGCCAATGGAATCCACACCCCCATGGATATTATACCTCTACCTTTATATATTCGTATTCCTCCTCTATCCAATTAATCGAACGCGGTAAACCCCTTTTCGCATTGAACCAGCCAGCCGACAGATAGGGGAGATAATAAAAAAAAAAAAAGCGAAATGTCAATATAACTTACCTCGTACTTGAATTCGGAACTTTGTTGCAATCAACTTTGCTGCACCATGCGTGGACGTCTTCAATTTTCGTCCGTATAGCGCGTATAATATAGTTACGATGAGTAGTATACGAGACACGGAGCTAGAAGGAGAGGTAGGAGAAAAAGGGAGAGAGAGAGAAAGAACGACGATGATGCAGCAGCGAACCCGCGAGTACGCAAAATACCACTAGGTGCGAAAAAGACAACAAGATATCCTTTCCAATGGTAGACCTCAGACTGTCACGCACCACCTTGTCGTCGCTCGTTTTCAGGCGATTTTGCACGATGCCTGGCTACGCCCTATACGTTCGCGCACAAAATTACACTTCATCACTTTCGTTTTTTTTCCGTGGAGACTCGCGAACGGGCACAGAGATAAAAATGTGTACGCGGGTTTCCTCGGTCCGGGATTACGACTAAAAACATGCACAAACGAATCTCTGTGCCAACGCAAAAGGCGACCTCGCCAAGCTCGACTGCTTTTCGCACGACGCACTGAAGAGTACTACTCTGCGCACTGCTGCCAACGAAAGGGATGCAAAGTCCAGGCAGCCATTAAACAGTGACGTATCGTGACGCGCGAGAACCTTGTTCTCGATAAAAAACACGATAAGATTTAACTTTTATCATTCGATATTTAATATGATCGAAATTTACTTTTAAATTTAACGAAACATTTAGGGGATCTATGCTTTCGTGATACTCCCTTTTAGTATTATAACAAAAATTAGACATTGCCACATAACTAAATAATAAAAAGTAGCACGTCAAAAAAGATCACAGTGCAAAATAGTTGAACGTAAACATTTTCAAAAATAGACTATAAACGGTTTAAATTTCGGAAAATAGAAACACGATAATATTGAGTTACAATATTACAAAGTTGCAAATGTAAAATGAAAGTGATTAAAAGATCCAGAGTTTTAAAACTACACGTCCCTGGTCGGACATGTGCCATACACGCATGCATGTACACATTTACGAGCATTATATACACGTATTTTGATGCTGTATCTACACTGTCAGTATCAGCATGTTTCTATTTACATCGACGCACTTGTAGTTAGGATGATAATGTGGTGCGAGCTGTCAATATCAAGAAAACCAAGTTGCGATAACAACGAAATGCAAATTGACACAGCATCAAACGTGCTCAAAATCCGTTTCCTTTGATCTCTTCATAGAGAAACACACATGCATGTACGTTCTCACAGTGACGGGAGGCAAAATATCGCAAATACTTATTGTTAAACGATGTGCGATCGACGATCGCGTTTGTCACATTTTGCATGGGGTTTAGTGAACGACTAGGTTTAAGTTGGCAGTGGTTAGCTCGAGCACTCGAATAGGAAAGGTCGTACAACCGTAAGTGCAGCTGTACTCTACGTAGCAAACTGGAGACCGGCATTGGAACCATTAGGAATTCGCGCTCCAGATGTATCTGCATACCATCGTACATAAACAAGCATGGCATCTTTTGTTTGAGCCTTTTATAAAACACAGGTTGTTCTGTTCATTTTGCACGTGCTATAATAGACGTACCGCAATCGTACACGCATATTTCTCGCATCACGATTAGTCAAATCATTTGGCACCGTTAATTTTTGCTGTTTGGAGAACAGCGAGCAAACGTGTCTTATCTCTTGAGGATGTGTATCACCAGAAGTATGACGTCACGCGAGTGAAATGAATATTCCATGATGCTCGTATCTTCGAAAACGGTAATTAAACCCTTTATAATGAACGAACGTGTAATAAATTAATAGAGTTTGAACTTTGGAACATTATAGAACCTGTTTTCGCACAATTGCGAGCTTTATTAGTCAGGATAGATTTCCCGTTACGGGCATCATATTATATTATTCGTTTTTTCTCGTGACTATTTTCGCAACGGACCGCGCACGTTTGTGAATCTTATGGTAAAAACGAACAGTCGATGCTTCCTGTAATTTTATACGCTTTCTAACCGTGCATAAAAGCGAAGAGCACGCGTATACCTCTGACTGTCATCGATTGTTTGACAATCGTCGAACTACGGCTACCTCGTCGGTGCAAGATGATTTCACTTTTTACCAGGAATCGTTCGTCCAGTTTTCCTCTATATACTATCGCGATTCGCGATTAAACGGTAAGAGGTTCTTATTTTCATTTGGCGTTACGAAACACCTACATACCGAGGAATCGTGACGGATGCTTTTTCCCGTTTACTTCGAAGGAATAAAGCGTGTATACTTACGTTCTACAGTGCAGACGCGATACTTGAACTCTCCGAGCGCATAAAACAAACATGAACTAATTACGAGGAAAGAACGGACGAAAATATTTATGGTTCCCGTGACTCGCACGCTAGGTGGAAGGAAGAATGTGTTTGTTTCGAGGGGAAACGAAAATTGTTCGTTTATTGTTAGTGCTGGCAGCAATCTTACGTGAGATGCTGGCGCCGAGCCCGTAAACACCGCAAGAGAATTCTACCCATTATTCTTTATCACGTAGATAATAAGTACCACGTTACCTTACCAATTATCGTCTACTAATACCTATTTCAATTATCTTAATGGAAATCGTGCGAAATCTATGCGTGATCGTAAAAGACGAGCAATGAGCACAGGAACGATCAATCAAGTAAACAGGAAAATAGCCAAGGGTGTACTGCTGAAGCTCCGTCCGTTTTGCACCTGCGGGTCTTCCTCGAAGAATTAGTCACTGGAAGCAGAGTAATCGTTAAGCAGCACGAAAGGACGCCTCGTGCGATCTGCTAATGTAAACAGAACCGGCATGCAGACGATGCTACGCTTTGCATCCCGCCATGCTTTTCAGCTTCACCCGTGTCAATAATCCTTGACCTATTCGATGTATCAACGAACGATGGAAAAAAAGAAAATGTAGAAATGACTGGATGGAAAACCTATTTCCCTTGCGATTAAGATTTTAAAAAGGCCTGTCGTCTATAATCGTTCGAGGGCCTTCGTTATGGCGACTTGTTCGATCGTAGCCTGGATGGAAACGTTTCTCGTCAAGCACCACTGGTTGCATACTGGAAACTGTTGGAAACGGGATATTCAAACGGCAACTCTGCTGTCTATGCTGCAGGGCAGGGACCAACGTGGACTTCCCTTACCCCTCTTCTAGCATCTCACGATGTCGTACGGCATACGTCTACAGTGTATAGTGTATAGTGGCCATACGGCATACGGTATATACCCACACCCAATGATGATACGCAGTCACCTTAGCAGCGGTGCTCATAATCACCGGCTCGCGTGCTATCGTTGCATTTGTCGATACTGTGCAACGCTGTGCAGGCTTTTTTTAAACGCGGAAGATTTTATGCACATATCGTTCAACGAACGGGTACATTTTGCGCAACGTAAAAAACATATTTTGTAAAATAACAGTTGGATCATACCGTATGAATGATTTCTGTCGTTCGGAGCGTATAACAACGTAACACTGGTTCCTTAACTGCTATTGATATATTTTTTATTTTCATTTTTTAACAATTGACCCGATGATTCTAAATCGTCGAGAATTCTTGTGGAATTATAATAGCGATAAATCAAGATGTCCTATTTGATTAACCTTCAGCAGAAAAATTTGAAACAATTAAAACAAAAGCAACGATTAATGAAACCGATTAATTCGTATTTATATGAAACGTTTCTATTTCCGGTCCATATTTCATAAACGTATATAGGTTATCTGAAAAGACTAAGTCTTAAGTATAACGCAAGAAATGGAAAGATAACTGTCGCGACGGCTCGCTGAACCTTGCGTGTCGTGTCACCGCAGCCTTGACCTTCTACTATAATACCAATTAGGTTCAGGAGCTTTCTTATTCCGGATGATTCTTTCGAACCATTTGAATTCGAAGAAGCAGAGCTTCTGCAAAAGCTCGAAGACCCAAGCAAACGTTCACTACGCGAATTTCGTATGCGCCAGTGTTTGCTTTATTGCATAACTCTTAGCGAGTCGAATATGTGTACGTTTTCGTTAATTTGTTCATAGACCGCGATAACTGCGGTGTTTCATAGGCAACCCAATAATTTTCTTACCATTGTTTTTTCTCTCTTTTTTTTTCTTTTACGTAACCAAGAATTATCAGTGATTCATCGTTTTTTCACTTCGTATTAGCGTCGATTATGAGCCAATTATGCCAGTATTCCTCTTATACATGCGTAGTCCTTGACGAGCATTTTCTTCTTCGTCTCTTATCGCGAGCATTCTTCCGTACGTTATACGGTTAACCTTACTGATAAAGTGTGTACGTGAATGACTTGCAGATGTATTGCCGCTCGTCCTTCCTGCTCGGAGATGTATCATTGACACGATTTTACCAGGCGGTTACGAATAATGGCACGGACGGCGTTTCCTCTGTGTGTTCATCACTCTCGATGATTTTCATAAAATTCGAAAAAACTCAATCTTACTCCATACGGCACGTTATATCTCTCTACAAATATTGTAAACAAGTTCGTGTACCTACATAATCATTTATGCATGATTCAGGCAATTTAGTCTTTAAATGTTATCCGGATGCTGGCAAACAACGTGACACACAACTCGATCCCATATTTCGCTAAGATTTCTCCTCCTCGTTCTACTTTCGGTGCAGATGCTCCATCATAATAGTTTCTATTTTCGGTCGGAGGGTTGGCTACACACGTTGTAGGTGCAGATGTTCACTGGCGGGAGCTAAAAGCGTTTGGGGGAGAAGGTCGAGCTTGGCGCTACGTATTTTCAAGAGACTAATAGACAAATAGATGAACCATGCCCCTCTCTCTTGTTCGGGAAACACACAGTTGAGAACAGTGGACGTGGTTATCGGTCGTTTCATGGAAAGTACGAGGGAGAAACGACCACCACGGTCTATGTTCAAGAGGAAATAGACGAGACATGTTTCTTGCGCGTTTAAATTGAATTTTACCGGAGAAACAATGCCCGGTGTGCTATACACTTGAAACGTCGACTCGGGTAATATCGTAAGGATACAATTGAAATCGTGATGAAAATACGAAAGGACGTCGTAAATGCACCAAGGAGGTAAACGAAATAGTAAACTACGGAAGAAAAAAAAAAGGAGAAAAAATAATGAATGAAACGTCGCGACATCCGTTAAGTATGGCCTTCAGAGCACACTCGAATAGTCTCGGTTTGCTAACGCGACTAAATGTCCGACCATAGGCATGCTCGTGCACATGATAAGATTATAAATTATCGCGATATGAACCTCATACAGATGCAACGGTTCGAAACAATTCTTTTTCTACACATTGCTCCACGTGACAATTGTCATTATTTGAAGTGTTATCGTTTTAAAGGAACATTAGCCTGAATAACTTGATGATAACTTTTAACGAAATTCGTTCGGTAAATACAATGTGTCAAGTAGAATCCATCGGTTCTTTCTGAAAAAAAAAAAAAAAGAAAGAAAAGAAACGAATACAAAGTTGCGGACAGCGACAAGTTTACTT